TGCCAAGTTGTTACTCAACCAATTTTTGCAGTTATTGTGCAAAAATTCTTCATAACACCCACTTCCATTCGGTGTTGCTCCTGAATCACCACTCTTCAGGTTGGAGAGTGACACCATGTTCAGAATGGCAACTCAGCTTTGAGGAAAGATGTTGGGTACAGCACTGAGCATGCTCATGGAGTGCTCTAAACAGGATGATTAGAGATGAATCCAAATTGAAACGCCAGTTCTGAACAACTCTGAACTTTAAACCCAGATCCACACTTTGAGAAAGTTCAGATCCACATGTGAACTCTGCAGCTGACACTCAAAACCCTTTATCTGAAACACACCTGAACTCTTAAAAAAATTATGATCCAGAGGTCAATTCCATCTCTAGGATAAAAGGCAGGGTAGATTTCTCCTCTACTAACAGCTTCAATCTTAAACAAAAGACAGAACTATGTAGCACTTTAAATACTAACAAGATGGTTTATTAGGTGATGAGCTTTCATGGGCCAGACCCACTTCCTCAGATCAATATGTGGAAGAAAATCGGCACAACCATATATACCAAAGTGATACAATCAAAAAAAGTGAACGCATGTAAAACTGACAAATCAAATTTTAGAACACAATGGAGGTGAGGGGGGAAGATAAGTTTCTATGAGGTAGTGACATAGGGGTGATAATAGGGGAAGTTTCTGTGAGGTAATGACATTAAGGGAGATAATTGGAGAAGCTGTCTTTGTAATGGGTGAGATAATTAGAGTCTTTGTTTAGACCCATACATAAAGTGTCAAATGTAACCATGAATGACAATTCTGAAGCTTCTCGTAGAAGTCTGGAGTTAAAGTCTCTTTGAAGCAATATGCATGTTTTAAGGTCATTGAGGGAATGGTCAGTCTGGCTGAAATGGCAAGCAACAGCTTTCTCTCTGTGAGAGAGTCTTATGTCTGTTTTGTGTGCATTGATTCTTTGGCGAAGTATCTGAGAAGTTTGTCCAATGTACATAGCAGACGGACACTATAGGCACATGATGGCATAAATTATATTTCTGGATGAACAGGAATGTGTGTTCTTGATCTTGTAATAGGCATGGTTAGGTCCAATAATGGTGTCAGCAGAGTAAATATGTGGACAAAGCTGGCACCAGGGTTTGTTGCCAGGGAAAGTTCCAGGGTTGGTATTAGTGTGGTATGTCCTGTAGTTGTAAGAAAGAATCATCCTGAGGTGGTTAGGTGGTTGTTTATAGGAGACTATGGGTCTGTCTTCCAGAGCCTCTCGGAGGGTAGTATCCTGTTCCAGTACAGGTTGTAGTTTATTGATAATGTGTTGGATGGGTTTAAGTTGGGGGCTATAGGTGATGACAAGTGGTGTTCTATTGCTGGTTTTCCTGGGTCTGTCTTGAAGTAGATGGTTTCTGGGTATTCGTCTTGCTCTTTTGATTTGTTTTTTTTATTTCTCCAGGTGGGTAATTGAGGTTTAAAAATGCTTGGTAGAGATCCTGAAGTTTCTGGTCTCTGTCAGAGGGATTAGAGCAAATGCGATTGTATCTAAGGGCTTGGCTATAGACGATGGTTAGCATAGTGTGTCCTGGATGGGAGCTGGAGGCATGTAGGTAACTGGAGGAGTCAGTGGGTTTTCTGTAGAGAGTGGTGTCTAATTTACCACTGGTGATTTGTACTGTGGTGTCCAGGAAATGGATCTCTCGTGTAGAATGGTCCAAGATGAGATTGACGGTGGGGTGTAGGTTGTTAAATTTAACACTTTATGTATGGATCTAAACAAAAACTCTAATGATCTCACCCATTACAAAGATAGCTTCCCCAATTATCTCCTCTAATGTCATTACCTCACAGAAACTTCCCCTATTATCACCCCTATGTCATTACCTCACAGACACTATAACCTTCCCCCCCTCACCCCCATGCGTTCTTTTTTTGATTTATCACTTTGGTATATATGGTCGTGCCAATTTTCTTCCACAAATTGATCTGAGGAAGTGAGTCTGGCCCATGAAAGCTCATCACCTAATAAACCATCTTGTTAGTCTTTAAAGTGCTACATAGTTCTGTCTTTTGTTTCAGTTAGACCAGACTAACATGGCTGCATGTCTATCACAGCTTCAATCTTGTGTGCTATATTGCAGTACCTCTTGAGTTTGGCCCATCTACCCCTTTGCAGATAGAGGCAGAGAGAGGAATAGGCTGAATTTGAGTAACACCAAGACCTCATGTTGTAATGCCCAGAGCAGGAACACGGGTGGGTTAATTTTCCAACTCCTGCCCCTCAAACTCACTTTTCAAAACCCATGCTATACACATGTGTATGCTGATGTAGCAAAAGCTATTTTATTTGCTACCTGACCACAACCTATAATTTCATCCCTGCACCTCTCCTGTGAAATCTACTAAAAATTTCCATGCCAAAATTGTAGCCTTAATCATGACCAACCAAGAGCTTGACCATTTTGCTTATATATTGTACCTATTCCACCATTCTTCATTTTTCTTTCTGGTTTTTTGTGTATTACAAGCTCTTGAGGGTAGGGATTGTTCTTTTTATATGTATATAGAATTTAGCACATTATGCTGGGTGACAAATTATTAAACCTAATTAGTAGTCACAGATGATGGTGGTACAAAGGTTGTTCCTTGCTGGTTCATACTTTCTTTAAGTTTCGATAACAAAAGGCTGCATTACACTACTCCAGAAAACGACGTGTTGCTCTGAATTTTAATAAGAAATAGAGAGTGTTAAAATTGATTATATTCAAAGGCATACGCTAATGTGAGTGAGCTCAGTTAAGACAACAATGCTTATTTGAGAAGAATGTGACAGACAGGCACCATTATTTAGCTTCAGGTACTTATCACTGTGGCTGTCATAGTAGCAATAATCTTTTTGGGCCCACTGTTATTTGAACTAAACGGGCAAAATTCAGTCCTGACATAACAAGGTACTCCCCATTGACTTCTATAAGTTCAATCAACAAATGGCAGAGCCTGAGTTTGATCCAGTATGTTTTATGCATCTTACTCTGACCCTACATTGAAAAGGCTTCAAGTACTAGACAACATAAATTGCATAATGCAGTGAAATGAAAACACATTTTCTTTCCTAGAGTCATAAGAAGTTGTACAGATGAAAAGAAGTAGGATAAAGGAGAGATGAGGTGCTACAGCAGAGCACATTAATCATGAAAAATTATGCCTGTGGTTTTAATGCCTTTCAAATACATTTGTAAAGAATGGGATTTATTCTTTTACATTTCTCCAGAGTAAATCTTTGGTTTACCAGCATAAGATTTATCAAAGCCTAAAAGATATTTACATATTCAATGTTGCGTTTGAGGATCTTCCACAAGACCCAGAGACTTTGCATTTGAAAACAAAATATGTCATGATGGCAGGAAAATAACCAACTTTCATCCTTTGGCTGAAACCAAGTACAGAAAGATTGACCAAAATTTGAGAAAGTACAAGCATATGAAAAGAGAGCTTTATAATGGAAGTGGAGTTGCAACAATGGGTAGATGACTTATTGATCATTAATTTGCAAGGTACAGCAGAGGAACATCCCTTGCAGCTGCATGTGAAAGTTTAAACTCTAATTCTTGACTCTCAATATATTCCAGAGTAGGCCAACAGTTATCAGACATCAACATTTCTAACCCATCTATGTTTTAAATTAGTGTTACTAATTTTTAAAATAGATGTGAATACCGCACGGTCCAGTAACCCACTAGACTGGAACTCAGTGGGTAAATGAGCCATATAAAAAACAAAAAACAGTAAAAAAACAGAAGGCAGAGATAAATAAATCTGAATGTAAGAAGCTCAGCTGGCTCTTTGGAGCCAAAACTAATTCATACACATAGATTTCATGACCAATTCAGACTCCCCACATATCACTAGTGTGGTTAGACAGCTCTTTATGGACACTTCCAGTGGTCAGTCTTTCTTTCATGAATACCATTAGGGAGCAGCTATGAGATGGGAAGCCGCAATTCTCCAGGTGAAGCTTTGTCAGGTGTCCTGGGATGTTCACATACATTGTTCCTCTTCTTTACCAAGGAATTAGAGCACATCCTTTCAATATCAAGCTGGGTTCTAGCTAAGAGACACACCTATTTGATATCTGCCTCCCACTACAATGTTAAACAGTTAATCAGTAAGCATGCAGCTTACTTGTATGCTCCCTGGTTACCAAGCCCTTGCTATTAAATTCTGCCGGTATCCAGTAGCGTCAGGTCAGAGCAGCTGTGGAGGAGCCGGCAGACCAGGTGGTAGGACCCCACAGATGTTAACTGTTTTAATATTCCTTACTCCCAACAAAGATTTTGTCAGTTAAACAAGTAACAAAACATTAAGTTATAATTGGCATACCTAGTTTCCAGAATGATACTAACACCCCCCTCAATTTCTCATCACAAGACTAGATTATAAATCACACCTCAGTGAGCACAGGGGAAGAAACAGAAAGGAAACTTTAATGAACAGAAGGCTGTAAAGATAAGAGCTCTTGACTAGAGGTGACTAATTTTATTTTCCATAAAACAAGTCCCTTAATGTTGGATTTCAAAGTCTCTTAAACCTCAAAACCAGAAAGATCCTACTGCTTACATAAAATAACTTCTGACGGTCATTTCTAACATACAGGCAATCCTGCAGTTACGTATTTATAAGCATTTTTACTACTCTGCTATATTTAAACCAAAGAATTTTTTTTACAGTTGTTCAACCCACACAGTGTAATAAAAGTTAGTAATTTCATCAGCCGAATATTAAGTTACCACCACAAAATCAAAATTCACAACACTTGTAGTAGAGAGATAGGAAACAACTGCAATATATCTCAGATATCATAATGTGGTACTGGTTGATAAATGCTGATTTTAGAATTTTAACCTTTATATCCCCTTCCTTCCCTCCCCACCCTCCCCCAAAAAACTTGAGGGCTTGTTTTAAAAAAGCCAAACACATACAACAGTATTTTAAAAATCTGAAACAATTTACCAGTCCTGGTAAGTGGTGATGGCAATACTTGGTGGTGTCAGCAAAGGCAAAGTTGTTGGTCTAGAGATGATGTCTCCGTCAGGTGTCTTAGCTCTCTCACTTTGTCTCTGAGACAGTGGTGGTAACTGCAAATTACATGAGCAACACCTTCTTCCTCTCCAGAGATCTATGCCGAGGGTATTACTAGAAGTACTGTATGACTTGCTCAGGCCACATTCTAAGTAATCTTTAGCAATCTGAAAGAGAAAATTCATCAAAATTATGCAAATACATTTTTTCACAAGGAAAGAATACTAGAAATTAATTTAATTTCATAAATATTTGGTATTTTGGAGAATAGAACTAATCACAAAATTGATGTTTATTCTTCACTTACAGAAAAATTTAACTACTATCATATTACAACCTTTTGTGAACATTTGCAATTCACATATGAAATTGACAGAATACCTACAAACTAGAATTAATTCTTCAATTCTGTAGTTGAACTTAAGCAGGAATATTCCAAAGCTGAACAGGACACATCACATGGCAAACTTTCAAAATTTAAATTTTCCTATAAAAAGGTCCATTCAATGTTCATCCAAAATACCACCGTTTTCTATACACCATAAATTCATGAATTGCCAGTTAGCTCCCTTCTCTGAGAATCATCATAGCTCACCACGCTTTGCATTATTTATATCAAATACGGAAGATAAAGACCTCAAAGTTTGTGCACACATCACATGGCAAACTTTCAAAATTTAAATTTTCCTATAAAAAGGTCCATTCAATGTTCATCCAAAATACCACCGTTTTCTATACACCATAAATTCATGAATTGCCAGTTAGCTCCCTTCTCTGAGAATCATCATAGCTCACCACGCTTTGCATTATTTATATCAAATACGGAAGATAAAGACCTCAAAGTTTGTGCTATGACCGGAATCACCCATGATCTACTATTTGGGACAGATTCCCAGCTGAGAAACCTTAAAATGATGTGGGCAACTCTCAAGAGAAAATTTCTAATCAGCAATGGTCTTGCTTTCAAACTTCTACTGGTTTGACTCCCAAGTATCACTAAGTCCTAGAAGCTAGTTTCCATCCTTTCATAGCTAAGCCAGAAGTATTTCTGGGTTAGAAATCAGACCTGCCTCAAATCTGGAACACCTTGAAAGTTCTAGGGCATTCTGACCTGAGGTTTTGATTCAGAACTGTAAATAATAAATTGAATCACATGCAAAACATGAAATCTAGGTTCAAATTTTGAACCTTTCAAAAATTTAATAATATTTAGAGCTGTAACACTGATTACCATCCATCTCTAATTCTTAGAAACTTCAAGGAAAAAAAATCACATGATGCTATTCCCCTCTATGCAGAAATTGACCATACTTGGGTTGCAAGACACTACCTTTTCACCATGCCAGTGGATTCCATTAAGATTTTCCATGACCAGCTCAGATGGCAAATACATGCTCTATAGCAAATTCTGTGGTAGTTGTGTGTACTCTTTGCATCTAAAGTGAAAGGCAATCACATACTATCAAAATGTCTTTGGTAAAGAAATTCTTTCATTAAACAGTTCACGCTTTTAGCAAAGTGTGAGTTGTATAATGAAAGAATTCCTTTATCAAAGACATTTTGATAGGGTCTTGTGAATGGTAGGAGATACTATCTTAAAATCTCCAGCCACCTCTGACTTACAGCATTCAATATCTAATTTTCTGCATGATCAGCTTAAGATTCTATGAAGCAGTGTGCATGATCGATGCTCTTTCTAACTGTAGTCTGGCTTATACTAATCAGAGTACTCTTAATATGCCTTTCTTGACTGTTCAATTCTTGCTCTCAGAAGGATGTTAGTGGGCAATTGCATATGCAGCAACCATACTCCATCCAGATCAAAAGCACCACTGCCACTTGGATCATGGACAGATTGATCATTACAGCAAGGGAACTTGTGGCTGAAGAGGGAAAGATTGCATCCGTAAGCCCAGATGCTTGCAGCTCCAAGCAAGAGAATACAGACCTGGAAAAGGATCAACTTCATCTAGCTATGGAAAAACGGCCCCAACAGAACATAATCTGGTAAGTGATGCCAGACCCCATATACCTACCGACTGGATGGCCCAGCCTATACTATTTCCTCACTTTGAGGAGATGACCTGGGGTGTGTTGTGTGTTTGAACATGCTTTTGAAATGGGATGTGAGCTGCTCCAGGTGGGGCAGGAGGGCATAGTACAGCATCTGATTCAAATACCATCAGGAACAAAGTCCCTCTTGATGATCAGGAAAATGGACAGGAGGAACCCACAACTCTTGCAGAAGCGTCGGAAAGATTTGGTCTACTGTGGCCCCATAAGATTGATGGGTGACTCTAGGTATGTTTACTGGGGGTTTACATCTGTTTATTGTTTTAATAAGGTTTTTTTCAGTAATGCTTTTACATTAAGAATAAGTGTGCTTCCTAAGAAAGTGCTGTGTGAGATAACATGTAACTTCTGGCAATGCACTGTTCCTAGTCCTCGGAGAGAAAGCAAGACAGATAATTGATCTCTCTTAAAACTGGTCTTACAACTCCTGATCAGAGGAGAATGAGACAAGGGTACCTGCCCAGAGGCAAGTTATCACTGGAGGCCTGATTGGAACTCCTGGTGTGAACCACAGAGAGGGAAACACAGGTGAAGTTCTATGATAAAAGGCATTGGCTTGACAGTACTGGTGACGGAAGGTGACAGAGCCACTGAATGGCAAGCTCTAGACACTTGTCAACCACTGCACTCTGTGTAAAGTGGAAGAGAGAGTCTTCTGTGGCTGGCAGAGGCAGTTCAATCACCAGGACCAGTTCTTGGCCTCCTTAATGAGTTGCTAAGTAGTACCGAGCTGTAAAACATGGTGGAGAATTCATGATGTGAGAGCAGGAACCGAACCCCATCAAACTCATCTTATGGAAGGGATCAGGAGCGGACTGGCAATCAAAACAGGCCTGGGAACAGCCCTCCCCATGACGTCACCCTTGCATGCCCCTCAAAACTCGCTCCCTTTCCCTGCATCACGTCCGGCACGCAGCACAAGAGTCGGGTCAGGCTCCGTGCGCTGCATAAAGCATGGATGCAGAGCCACTCGGAGCGCGGGGCAATGGAGGCCCATCATGGGTAGATATGACAGCCCACCGGGAAATTCCCAGTATCTCACCGGTCCAGTTCGCCCCTGGAGGGGATTACCAAATTTCCATCAGACAGAAACATTTAGCCTTAGATTCAAACAGGTGACCTACAGGTGAGCAGTTCTGTATCTCTTTTGCGCTGTCCTAATGGCAGCTAGTTCCCCAACAGATACCATTTTAAGTCCGGGTCATTTTAATGCGTTTACACATTCTCTCTATATATGCATAATACATGTAGATACATGCGCATGAGAGAGAGAGAGAGAGAGAGAGAGAGAGAGAGAGAGAGCGAGAGAGAGAGAGAGAGAGAGAGAGAGAATAAATACATTAAAATTGCCCTCTTAGATTTATACTTATTGGGGAATTGGCTATATTGAGGACAATGCTAATGGTGGGGAGAGCAGGCCAACAGGACAGAAACAGGGCAGCTGCCATGGGGCACAGTAAATCAGAAGGGCCTGGGGCTCCCAGCCACCACCACTACTGTAACAGCAGTGCCAGCCGGAGCCTCAAAACCACTTAAATTGCTACTGAAGCCCCACTTGGTGTACTCCAGGCGGCTTTGAGGGCCGTCCATGCAAAGCTAACTCCAGCCGAGCCCCTTCGACTCATAAGCCACCGTCCCCCTACCTTGCTCAGAGGCCCAACGAGTTTGTCAGCTCCACTGGTGGGGAGAGAGAAGCAGTCAGGCTCGGCTGCTGGTATTAGAGTGGAGTGATACCAAGCATGTAACATTATATAAAAATTGCAGCAAGCTACATGAAGTGCTAGGTTTCATACTTTCATTGTACCTTTCTATAAAAATGAAAAATCACCTAATGCGTAAAGATCCCAAGCTGTAACAAACGAGGCAATTACTGCTGTGATTCTCATTGCCATAATTACAAACTGATGCATTTCTTGTGAGACTAGGAACTGTAATTTAATTAATAAAGGATTATTGTGGCAAAGGGAGTAGAGGGGACAGAAACACCAGCACATGGAATATTACGAAACCCCAGTAGTGAGTGCTGTAAAAATGCTACAAATACATGTGTTTTTTTAAATCAATTGACCGTACTCTCTTCTCACTTCCACTACTATAATGTATGAGTAATTCCAAGAAATACAAGTCGCTCCAGTGTAAAGCCAGTCTATGTGAAACGAGGATAAGGCTGTGTGCTCTGTTCTGAAAACACAAACACACACACACACACACACACACACACATACACACACACGAATGAATAAACCTTGACTTAAACCGACAACAACTTACATCGTCTGCTGTAACCGTCATGACACTTCTGCTTTTCTTCATTATAGAGATGAAAAATGCACTTGTTTGTGCCAACCACTCTTGTTCAATCCAATTTTTCCCCAGTCAACCTACAAGAAAAAGTGGGAAGCCTTTGTATTCTTGAGTTAATAAGCTAGATTGCTGATTGGTAACAGTTAGCAGGCTTACAGCTAACAGTGTTTTCACAAAATGCTCTTCAGAAGTCCAAGCATAAGGATGCTAAGTGCAAAATTACATAAAAGCATAAGACTCCATTTGTAAAATAATAATTTAATTAGCAATGAGATCATTTTAAAAAAAATCAGTGTTCTCGCAGTTTGGGAACATAAGTTTTGTAACTACTTTAGTAATAGGACCAAATTGACCTTGCAGTTCATATTTAGTTTAACAAGTCATTACTCAGAAGTTTACTCAGGTTTGAGTAAACTGGCCCCAATTAAAAAAATAAAACAGTAAGAAGACAGCTCTGTATTCATATTTTAATTCATATAGCAACTCTCACAAATATAAAGTCTCTATTCAATATTATATATGCATGCATCACTTCAATACTGCAACCCCCTCTAAGGTAAAAGTATTCAGAAAAAAAATGAAAAATAACTAACCTTATGAAATTGCAGAAGAAGACAGGACTTAATACTTTACTCACCTAGGAATTTGGCCAGAGTGACCAGCAACGTTCTCTCTAATCTCTTCCATCCATGTATGGAATACATTTTTATGTGCACCCAGACATGTGCAAACATGCACCACCAGTAAAAACACAAAACCTAACTGCAGGCCCTCTACTATTCTACTGGGCAGCATTTGAATTTTTCCTGAGTGGACAAACATGTGCACAGCTTCCAGGGAACACTAGTACCAGATATTAAAATCCCTACTCTTTCTTATCAGGAACTGAGTGCTCAGGATAGCTCTGAAAAAGAAAGTCCTTGGTGTTTTTCACAGAACAGTACAGCTATGGAGGAAGCTTCCGCACACTGTCAATATGTCTCTACCCTGGCTTGGAAAGGCTAACTCTGGGGGGAGAGGAGAGCTGAAGGACAATCACTAACTGAGGTCACTGCTGAGACAACCAGAAAAGGGACCAAGCAGTTCAAGTTGTGGTTGTGTTTTTTTATGGTGGAGACTGCTATTGGTTAAATTCCTCTAGAGAGCTAACATCCCTCAAGATGATGAAAGCTTTTAACTACTACCCATTTTTCTCACCTTTAATTTACTGATCCTTAGACTCTCATCTTATACTGAAGTTGTGGGGAGTTCAGACATGTGAAATGAAGCCATAACTGTGGGCCAGGGTCCACAAAAATCACAAACACATAAATTAGGATTAAACCACTGAGAATTACCGTATTTTAGCTAATATAACACGCGGGTTATATTCATTCTTTCAAACCCTGCAGCTTCTCCCCATGGGGTATACTCGGGTACGGGGTACATTTGGGTGCGGGGTACATTCGCTAAAAGACGGTAGGCATTTCTAACATGCTCAGTTGGGACAGCCTCCCCAGGCTATTTCAAAATGCAAAGTACTATTACTTCACAATTCAAAGGCAGATACAAAAATTCCGACAGTGTAACAACTGTGCTCAGATTAAATGCCATTCAGATTCCACCACCTCCACCACACTATTTACAGAAATAATACATAGGAAAAAATCCAAGTTGTTTAAGGGAAATTGTTTCAGGTTAGCAAACAAGAAGTGTTTCATCATAGAGATCTAGAGAGATATTCTATCATGCTACACTGACTGAATGTTCATGCAGCTGCTACTCATGGTATGAGAAACGCAGATATCCTTTTTCTCCTTACAGCAGATCACCCTGCAAAGAACATTAACATGTGGTGCCAGCAATGTAGCTGGGTCTGATACCAGTCCCAGCTGTTACACAAGCACTTCACGCTTCCAGTTGCTTTAATTCCCATAAGGGCTCATAAATCTCTCTCACACACACACACGCTTTCATCATCAGCCAAAGCTTTCAAAGTCCTCAGATCCGTGCCAGACATCCTCATCCATAAGAGCACCAGCACTATCACACATAGTTGAATATTCTTTGCTGCAGCAGCACAGGGGAAGAGCAAAACAAACTGTTTAAAAAGACACTCAGAGCTGAGGGCAGAGGTATTGTACAGACAGAGAGCGAGACCCATCCTGTGGCAGAAGACCAAAAGATACATGTTGAGCAAAGCAAATGAGGCTGAGGTAAGGGTTAGAGCTGCAGAAGGACCACTGACCCAATGGCACAAATTGGAGCATTCTGCTGATTGCAGCACACATGAGGGGCAATGAGATGGGCAGCGTTTAAGAGAACAGCCTGGAGATGAAAGGCTCATATCCCATTAACAACCTAAAAACATCCTGTGATGCCACTACAAATAGTGAGTCAAATGCATTGATGAGGGTATAAATTACATCCTCTTATGCCAAAACAAGCTGTTTGCAACACAAGGGTAATTCATCTCCATGGAGGGCAGATAGTCTTTCTGTTACTGTCATATGGGAGTTCTGCTGCGAACATGGCTTTAATTTCCACTTACGCCCCATACAAATTGTTCTGGTAACAGTCTACAAAACCACTAAATCAACACACCCTCCACCTGCACTACACTTGCATTCTTTCTTACCAGCATTCTCTGGCTTTGGCCCTGTATCCATTCTTTATGCCCATCCTTGCAATTTATGTAGTGGCATCACAACCTAAACCCGGATACCTATGACCTTGCCTAGGGCTACACAAAATCTGTCTAAGTACACAGTTAGGGAATTTTCTCCAATGATTTTTATATAGAAGAATACAATAAGGAAGGACAATTTTATTCTGATACATGCATCTTCAAGTAGTGCCAAGTGGAACACTGAACATTTCTGTCCAAGTTAATTGCATCTACAAATAGATTTAATGGGTATTTTAGTGAAATGAGCTACAGGCTTCTCAGCCTGAATGAAAGTCTTCATGGGGGAAGGGGATGAGGCAGGGGAAGGGGAGGAGGCAGCAGCAAGGGAGTGACATCTCCATGGATTATCCATCTAGGTTCCTTTTTGGCCCCCCATGATTCTGGAGAGTAAGAGATCAGGGCTTCTATTCTGCAGAAAAATATTAGTCTCTCTACCTATAGATTCTATTTCCCACATATTTGGATTGAAAGTGATATAAAAAATAAATTTTTGCACTACAGAGAACCCTGAATTCTATTACAAGCCGTGTTACATTCATAAAAAAGCTCAAGCTATTCATACACCTTATCCAACTGTCCTGTACATCACTAAGAGAAAGTAAATCAATTGCTGAACCATCTGCTCACGACCTCTCTCTGTCTTTACCATGGAAATTAAATTGCAGTAAAGCCCACATATCACAGCACATTGTGATTTAAAAGAAAGGCCAGTATAAGTGATTACCACATCCCATTTTAAAGCACATTGTGCCCCATAGCTAAAAGCCACACCGTGTAGCTAACACCTCAGGGTGACAAAGGCAAGATACGTCATATAAAGCTCTCAATCACACATTCATTTCCAGCTAGCAGCAGGCATTATAGTCAAAAAAGAAGACTCTCTCCTGTCTCATCTGCAGGGCTAGTGATATAATGCCGTGCTGATAAAATGAGAAGTGATTGAAATGTCAGCAAAAGGAGAAATGAAACAGTTGATAATGAAAGGAAGGTGTGGGTGAAAAAGAACCTCTAACAAACTGTGCAATTGATGGAATCACTCCTAAGTAAAGCCAAACAGGTCACATTTTTATTTGAATTTCTTCATAAAACAATATGATGATTAACACGCTTGCTAACAAATAATCAAATCACAAAAGCAAAAGAGAGAGGAAAAAAGAGAGAAGAGCTAACCCTTTCTCCCAGCCCACTGAAATACTTAAACCAAAACACACAACCTTTATTTAAATAGGCAAACCCTTTATACAAGTGGAGAATCAGACAGCCATCACTGCAACATCATGAAAAAAAATCTCTGCAGCTGAAATGTAAGCAGGTAATATCTTAAAAGACTTGGACTTTTCAGCTTAGAAAAGAGGAGACTTAGGGTACGTCTAGACTACATGCCTCTGGCGACAGAGGCATGTAGATTAGGGTACCGGACATAGTAAAATGAAGCGGCGATTTAAATAATCGCCGCTTCATTTAAATTTACATGGCTGCCGCGCTGAGCCTCGCCGCTTCATTTAATTTTACATGGCTGCCGCGCTGAGCCAACAAACAGCTGATCAGCTGTTTGTCGGCTCTGCGCGATAGTCTGGACACTCCCCTGCCGACATCAAAGGTATTTGTCGACCACCCAGGTATGCCTCATCCCAGCTGTTTGTCGGCTCAGCGCGGCAGCCATGTAAATTTAAATGAAGCGGCGATTATTTAAATCACTGCTTCATTTTACTATGTCCGGTACCCTAATCTACATGCCTCTGTCGCCAGAGGCATGTAGTCTAGACGTACCCTAAGGGAGGATATGATAGAGGTCTATAAAATCATGACTGGTACAGAAAAAGTGACTAAGGAAGAGTTATTTACCTATTCCCACAATATAAGAACTACAGGTTGTGGTTACAGGAATAAAGGGGGTCTCAGCGCTGGATCTGGTCTAAAGGGAGCTGAAGGCAGGATCCAGGCATAAGAACCTGCCTTCATAATTCTCCGCAGAAACCCAGCTTGAAAGCAAGACGAACCTCAGCTGCATGGGGGGGCCCCCTGTGTAACAGGAAAAAGGGCAATACAAGGATTGCCTCAGGAGTAGCGTCCTCTCGTAAATTAAGCCACAAAGTACTCTAATTTGGGGCCTTATTGTAAGTTAGGCCATTCAGTTACCCAATCTGCTGCCAGTAAAATACGGCTTCAAAATGCACCATGTAAGGAATCAATAGGTAGGGTCTGGGCAAAAGTAGCTTCTCCATATTAATAAACAAAGAGGTCGGGTCCAGGAAGGGATAATCCTCACTATACTAGGAAACAAAAGGATGGTTCGGAAAGAAAGGGATAGGGCGGGTACCAAGAGAAGGGTAGAGATAAAAGATGCTATAACCATAACTTAGGGCTCACTTGGATGGTCGTGAGGCGGAGGGGAACGAGCGGTCTGGATGCTGTAACCAAATAAATTGCCTCTTACCACTCTGCAGGGCTTCATCCATCATTCGGCCCTGCAACAGGGGGTCACCAAATGAAATTAACAGGCAACAGGTTTAAAACAAACAAAAGGAAGCTTTTCTTCACTCAGCGCACAGTCAACCTGTGGAACTCCTTGCCAGAGGATGCAGTGAAGGCTAGAACTTTAACAGGGCTCAAAAATGAGCTAGATAGCTTCATGGAGTTTAGGTCCATCAATGGCTATTAGCCAGATGGGTAGGAATGGTATTCCTAGCCTCTGTTTCTCTGGAGATGGGTGACACGGGAGGGGTCAAGTGAGGATTATCTGTTGTGATCCCTTCCTCTGGGGCATCTAGTATTGGCCACTGTTGCCAGACAGGTTACTGGGCTAGACTGACCTTTGGTCTGACACAGTATAGCTGTTTTTATGTTCTTATGTTCTAAACACAAATGCTGACTTTTTTAAAATAATATTTTGTGAGGATTTTTATTCTCTCATGTGTAGTTATTTCTGAAGGACCTTAGCCATCTCGTTCTTTGCACAATTATTAAACTAGTGGCTAATTCAATTTTCAGAATTTGAGTTGCAATCCATCTTGCTGTGTCAATTGTATATATTTTTAAAACAATACTTATATATAAAAGGTTTTTTTTTTTTTAAATGAAGATTGAAAGTTCCAGACCTCACTAAATACAAAGCAATAAGACAAAGGCTGTGGAGAGGTTCTGTATCATAGAAGCACAGGCCTGGAAGGTAGCACAGCTGATCATCTAGACAAGACAAGACTGAAAAATGAGATCATTCCTCACAAGTGCTTGCCTAACGTCATCTTAAAAGCTCTAACGAGAGATTCCACAAGCTCCCTCAATAATTGTGTTGGGGTCACTGGACATGATCCTAGGTAACTCGGGGGAGTGGAAGATCACAAGGATCGATGAAGCCTCCCCGCTCTAGGCCCAAGCACCCTAAAAGCCCTCCCCCCCCCCCAGACATAACTTTTCTCTAGCTCATTAACAGCTGGGAACAGCAAGACCTTGAAGTTGCCTAGTTACTATCAGCAGTAGTATAGAAGAAGAATTCAGATGTGTTTCTGTAGAGGGGGAGGAGGAGGAACAAGTCCCAGTGTGGGAA